ATGTATCACAGAACAATGTGAGCATTTGAGATGACTCATACCTTGGGTGGAATCTTCAGGTAATTTCAGGAATAAAATATACGGCTCTATCCAGATATAGCAGTGATCATACCTATGATATTCTAAATAGGGACCATGGAATATAGGTGTATATTCGGTTATTCCTCCTTGAAGTATCATCCTGTTTGGTTTCTTGATAAGACATGTAACTAATGCTAGTTTATAATACATCTTACTTCCCATCATCTCAATACTCAAGTTAGTGATATATAGTTCCCATTGCTGAGTATTTAGTGGTGTTTAAAGTCTATGACATCTTATTCATAATCTGTTTTTGTAGTACATTTTTGTAATGATATACAGTGAACTTTTAAACTTAAATGTCCTGATTTCACCCCTTGGTTTCAGCATCAACATTTCCTCTGTTGTAGGGAAAAAATCTCTGTTTGCCTAGCCCTTGTATCGGACTCATAGTAAACAATTGTTAATGCTTTCACCCTTGGTGAACAATAGTAGATAGTAATAGTTTCAGAGGTTTGTTGGTTCATCACACTCTACAGGTTTTGGTTAAGCTTCCAAACAGTTGAGTTCCCGTCTCATTATTGTTGAAATGTTTACAAGTCAGAGTCCTATGTGTTTGACTTTCTGTAGATGCATTCTTCTCACTTCCATATACAAATAGCCCTTGTTGACAGTTTAAACATCCCATTGTCTTGGAAAAGTCTTAATTCCCTGTTCTCTTCATTTCTTTAACTAGAATTCTTGAAGGTTTAACCAAGACAAAATTAACTCTTAACATCCGGTTTCTGCTGAGCTGTTTGCTATATAACATTATGTCTTGATAAAAGTCATATTTTTGACATGATTCCAAAAGCCCACAACATTGGTAAGGGGGGAGTAAACCACTAAAGTTCCATAGAGTACAGGGAAGCTGTCCAGACTCAGAACACACCACTTCTGCTGAACATCGTTGGCCTACAAGGCTAAAGATACTGCTATGGACATATTGTTCTACTGAAAGTGAGAAGAAACGACCTCTGACTACCTATGGACTGCATCTCATGGGTACAACCTGTTATTCGTCTTTGGGTTTCCTTTGATAATAAGACTTCCTCTCAGCTGTAAATACCCAGTTTTGCCGACTTGAAATTGGGCAGGAAGAGAGATGTGTGTGTGGGGTGCAATTAGGAGGATCTGGCAAGGTTTAGGAGAAAGCATTGTGGTAGTGTTGCCAGCACAGATTGGAAAAGCTTTATGCCTACAATATGCACTTTAAGGAGGTGGCCATCTTGATAGAGGTAGGACTTTGCTTCCTCCTGTCAGAACTGCCCCCCAGATGGCTGTTGAGGTACTAATTAAGAAGCAGCAGAAGGGAATCCTCACCTCCCAACAAGAATACAAAGTATGTAATTTAGTAATCTACTGTCCTCCATTAAAACCGGATGATCACATTTTACCAACATTCTGAAATGGCTTATGAGCAAATTAAGGTGCTCCAACACCTACACGTGTGTAGCGCCACCCCCCCCGCAGGAGCCCGCTGGATTTTATTGGGTCCCCCTAAGCTCTGCACAGCCAGGCAACACACATTCATCCACATATTGCACCCAGAGTCAGTAAGACAGCCAATGAGCTGGTTTTTAGTTGTTTTTATTGAGGGGTTAACAACTTGGATGGGGTCTAGGGATATATGGGATGCCCGAGGAATGGCAAACTTGAGGACAAACTTCTCAGCAAACTGTATACTGTAGAAAAATATGGATCAAGAAAATAGCAACTGTCTTTTTAAGGAGCACTGAAGTCCCCTTGATGTACCTCCTCAGCCCGCAGATGAATCCTTCCTCTTAACGCGGCTGCACTGAGGGTATCCCTGGTCCTTGGAATCCCTTCCAAGAGCTAACAAGTAGTCTCGGATGAGAACTGGTTGGGTCTTGCACCTTTGTCTGGCCCACACGTCCACTCTCCTCCCCTTCTGTGACACGGAAAGCCACAAGTGTGACGTCACCGCTGTCTTTTAGACCCTGCATGTCTCATTAAAGAGAACCTGTCCCCTAAAAATCATCACATAGAGGACTTTGCGTCCCCTATGTGATAAAAAAAAAATTGGGTAAAAAAATGTTTTTTTTGCCAAAAAATAAAAAGTTATACCCAAGCACATAACATTTTTCCCCCAAAAAAATGTGGAGGCCTCCAACCCCCACATATATGCATGCATACGCGCGAAGACGTTGATTGCGGAACACATGTTACATATCACCGCGCACGCCCGAAGTGAGAGCAATAATTCTACCACCTGACCTCCTCGTAACTCTAACTGATGACCTGTTGGCAGTGGCATATTTACCGCAAGGCGTTTGCCTAGGGTGGCATTTTTTCAGCGTGCAGCGCCATCCCCCCGAAGAAGGAACACGCGCGGCACGGGGATCAGGTGCGGTTTGAGAGAGGCTGTGGACTGCTTGAAGGTGTATGCAGAGCTCGACTTTCATTCCTGGGGATAAAGTTGAGTGTCTTTCTCTCTCGCACCAGGGGAGAGGGGGTGGTGGTGGGTGTATGGGGGCCGTGGTAAGTAGGGTAGTGGAAAGCTCTCTCGGCCTGGGTGGGTGGGGGTGTTAGTAGGGAAGGCTCTCTCAGCCGGGGAGTGTTGGTTGGTTTCAGGCTCTCTCAGAGAGGGGTGGGGGTTGGTGTAGGTAAAAGTCGGCCAATTTTTTTGTTGCCTAAGGCTTTTGCAGCATCACCTATAGAAAATATAGGGTACTGAAGTTTGTCGCCATTTCACAGGCGCACACAAATTTAGGGTTTGGCATGTTGGGTATCTATTTATGCAGAACCCTCGTCTTTTGTATTTTACCAAAAATGTAAATAATTCATTGTGTGAATCGTCAAACGTTTACATCAAGGAACATCATATCTCTTCTCACATGATCCCATTCTTTGCAAACTCTAGGCTCATTCTTATATAGGCTTGGGCTCAATGCGTTTCATGGACTTGATCCACTTCTTCAGGAGACATCACCATATAAACGTTTAACTACTGATATAAAACAAGAACAAAAACATACTTGCCCTCCAGAGCAGGGGCGGACTGACCATTTGGAAACTCGGGCACTGCCCGAGGGCCAGGGGTCAGTAGGGGCCCCATGAGATGCACCTGGTACCTTTTTCATAGGCTTTTTTGAGTTTGGGCAAGGACACAGGGGCCCCATGATCCCCTATTGCCCGGGGGGCCCCATGAGTTGTCAGTCCACCCCTGCTCCAGAGGATTCCCCCCCCTTCCTGACCAGGCCATTTCTGGCATTATGGAGCTGCGTTATTTTAACTGACAATTGTGCGGTCATGCAATGCTGCACCCAAATGAAATTTATGTCCTATACAAATAGAGCTTTCTTTCGGTGGTATTTGATCACCTCTGCGGTTTTTATTTTTTTTGCGCTATAAACAAAAAACAGACCAACAATTTTGAAAAAAAAAAACAATATTTGTGACTTTGCTATTAAACAAGTGCAATAAAAAATGTAAAAAATGAAATTTCATCATAAATTTAGGCCAGAACGTATTCTGCTTCATGTCTTTGCTAAATAGCGCTTCATTACTTTAACTGACAATTACACAGTCATGCAACGCTGCACCCAAATTAAATTTACGTCCTTTTTTTCCCACAAATAGAGCTTTCTTTTGGTGGTATTTGATTGCCTGTGCGTTTTTTTTTTTTTTTTTTTGCGCTATAAAAAAAAGGGCTGACAATTTTGAAAAAACCCCCCCGATATTTTTTACTTTTTGCTATTAAACATATGCAATAAAAAATCAAATTTTGTCATAAATTTAGGCCAGAATGTATTCTGCTCTGTGTCTTTGCTAAAAAAAAATAAAATCCCAATACGTGTAAATTAATTGATTTACGTGAAAGTTATAGCGTTTACAAATGGTGGTGTATACACTGGAATATTTTGATTTTTTTTTTCACTAGTAATGGCGGCGATCAGCGACTTATAGTAGGACTGTGGTGGGCATTCTGCCACTGGGTGGAACTGACCTGGTGTCACTGACATCAGTGCTTTTTATTAGCACTGATCACTGTATTGGTGTCACTGGGGATGTCAGTGACACCAAGTTAGTTTCCCCCCCAGCGTCAGAATGCCCTCCGCAGTCCCACTATAAGTAGCTGATCGCCACCATTACTAGTAAAAAAAAAAATGAAAAAAAAAAAATCCCAGTATCTATACCGTCATTTGTAGACGCTATAACTTGCACGTAAAATTTTTTTACTGGACATATTTAATAGGAAAAAGTAAAAAATATTGTTTTTTTTTTCTCAAAATTGTCTTTTTTTTTTATAGTGCAAAAAATAAAAAGTGCACAGGCAATCAAATACCACCAAAAGAAAGCTCAAGTTGTGGGAAAAAAAAGGATGTACTATATATTTCATTTGGGTGCAGTGTTGCATGACCCGCGCAATTGTCAGTGAAAATAATTAAGCGCCGTATCGCAAAAAAATGGCCTGGTCAGGAAAGGGGAATCCTCAGGAGGGCAAGTAGTAGCAAAAAGTAAAATATATATAAAATTGTCGGTCTTTTTTTATTTATAGCTCAAAAAATCCCCCCAAAAAAGGCAGAGATGATCAAATACCACCGAAAGAAAGCTCCATTTGTGGGCAAAAAAAGGACATTTCATTTGGGTGCAGCGTTGCATGACAGCGCAATTGTCAGTTAAAGTAACGCAGCGCCATAACGCAAAAAGATGGCCTGGTCAGAAAGGAGGGGGGGGGGGGGGGAATCCTCTGGAGCCCAACACCATTTAAGACGATGACTTCTCTCCCCCCTGTGAACTCTTTCGTGTTCCATAAGTACCGATTTCCGGGCAAAGCGTTTCCCACACTCAGTACATGAGAAAAGGCTTCTCCCCCGTGTGACCCCTCTGATGAAAAACAAGGTGAGTTCTGTCACTGAACCCTTTCCCGCAATCCAAGCAGGAGAACGGCTTCTCTCCCGTGTGAACCTTTTCATGTTTTACGAGCGACGATTTGTGGGTAAAACATTTCCCGCACTCCAAGCACGAATAGGGCTTCACCCCCGTGTGAACTTTTTCGTGTGTGATGAGGTTTGATTTCAGGGAAAAACACCTCCCGCACTCCGCACATGAAAACGGCCTCTCTCCCGTGTGGACTTTTTCATGTCCGAGCAGAGACGATTTGTGGGAGAAACATTTCCCGCACTCGGAGCAGGAATACGGCTTCACCCCCGTGTGGATTTTCTCGTGGGTGGTCAGAGTGGACTTTTGGGAAAAACATTTTCCGCATTCGGAACATGAAAACGGCCTCTCTCCCGTGTGAGTCGTCTGATGCGAGACGAGATTCCTTCTCGTAGAAAAGTATCTCCCGCATTCCGAACATGAAAACGGCTTCTCCCCAGAGTGGTTTGTCCGATGTTTAGCCAGCATCCATTTTTCGGGGAAACATTTTTCGCACTCCGAACAGGAAAAAGGCCTCTCGGCCGAGTGAGTTCTCTGGGTGTCTGACCAGCTGTTGTTTCAGGGTAAAACATTTCCCGCACTCTGAACAGGAAAATGGCTTCTGCTTTTGAGGACCTCTTTGGTGCAAGGTGAGGTCTGCTTCTCGAGAAAAATCTTCGCTCCTTGTACCATTGGTAAGATGGGCGATTGGAGGTGGACAACGGACGCCATGTGTAGAGGGAGCAGATGTCGGATCTGGATGGAGATTTAGGGTCATGGCGTTCAGGGCCGAAGATTCTGCTATGATGTCACCGCCTTCTATGTCACCATCTAAAGACATACCAGAACTTTTCTCCATACGGTACCTTCTATATCGTCCGTCTGGGAAAAAAAAATTCACTTTCAATACCTTTTTATTGAAGTTTTATAACATAACCTGTACAAATATACAGTGCTGTGAAAAAGTAATTGCCCCCTTCCTATATTTTCTTTTTTTTTGCATATTTGTCATATTTAAATTATTCGGATCATTCTATTTTAATATTACACAATTATAACCCCATTATATGCAAAATGCCATTTTTTAGACTTTTTTTTCCCCCCACAAATTTTTTTTCTTTCTTTTCCATTTTTTCCCACAAATAGAGCTTTCTTTCAGGGGTATTTGATCACCTGTGCGGTTTTATTTTTAATTTTAAATAAAAAAAGACTGATAATTTAAAAAAACAAAAAAAACAATGTTTTTTACTTTTTTGCTATTAACCCCTCAACCTCCAGAGGATTAATACCCCGACCAGACCTTTTTTTTTTTTAGTTACGGCGCTGCATTACTTTAACTGACAATTGCGCGGTCATGCAACGCTGCACCCAAATGAATTTTATGTCCTTTTTTTTTCCCCCACAAATTTTTTTTCTTTTTCCTTTTTTTCCCCACAAATTGAGCTTGCTTTCGGTGGTATTTGATCACCTGTGCGGTATTTATTTTTTGAACTATAAATTAAAAAATGTCGACAATTTGGAAAACAGCAACAATATTCTTGACTTTTTGCTACCACTTGCCCTCTTGAGGATCCCCCCCCCCCCCCGGCCATTTTTTTGCGATAAGGCACTGTGTTACTTGAACTGACAATTGCGCGGTCATTCAACGCTGCACCCAAATGAAGTTTATGTCCTTTTTTTCTCCACAAATTGAGCTTTCTTTTGCCTGTGCAGTTTGTATTTTTTGACCTACAAATAAAAAAAGGTCGACAATTTTGAAAAAAACAAACAATATTTTTTTACTTTTTGCTACCACTTGCCCTCCAGAAGATTTACCCCCCCCCCCCACCCCAACCCCCTTGCTCCTGACCAGGCCATTTTTTTTGCAATATGACGCTGCATTACTCATTACTTTAACTGACATTAGCGCGGTCATGCAACGCTGCACCCAAATGAAATTTACATCCTTTTTTCCCCCCCCAATTTTTTTTTTTCTTTTCCTTCTTTTCCCACAAATAGAGCTTTTTTTAATGGTATTTGATCGCCCGTGTGTTTTTTTATTTTTTGCACTATAACTTAAAAAAAACGACAATTTTGAAAAGAAAAAAACACAATATTTTTAACTTTTTGCTATTAACCACTTGCCCTCCAGAGGATTTAGCCCCCCCCCCCCCCCCCCCCCCCCCCCTTTCCTCCTGACCAGGCCATTTTTTTTAGTTACGGCGCTGCGTTACTTTAACTGACAATTGCGAAGTCATACAACACTGCACCCAAATGAAATTTACGTCTATTTTTTCCCCACAAATGGAGCTTTCTTTCTGTGGTATTTGATCACATTTATTTTTTGCGCTATCAATAAAAAAAGACCAACAATTTTGAAAAAAAAAAAAATTTTTTTGACCTTTTGGTACCACTTGCCCTTCACTTGCACTGCGTTACTTTAACTGACAATTGCGTGGTCATGAAACACTGCACCCAAATGAAATGTACGGCCTTGTTTCCCCCACGAATTCAGTTTTTTCTTTCAGTGGTATTTGATCGCCTGTGCAGTTTTTATTTTTTGCGCTTTAAATAAAAAAAGACTGTAAATTTTGAAAAAAAAAAAAATATATATTTTGACTTTTTTGCTATTAACCCCTCGCCCTCCAGAGAATCCCCCCCCCCCCCTCCTGACCAGGACGTTTTCTTGTGATACGGCACTGCGTTGCTTTAACTGACAATTACAACGCTGCACACAAATGAAATTTATGTCCTTTTTTTCCCCACAAATTTTTTTTTTTCTTTTCCTTTTTTTCCCACAAATGGAGCTTTCTTTCGGTGGTATTTGATCGCCTCTGCGGTTTTTATTTTTAATTTTAAATAGAAAAAGACTGACAATTTTGAAAAAAAACAAAACAATAATTTTGACTGTTTTTCCTATTAACCCCTTGCCCTCCAGATGATTTCCCCCCGACCAGGCCTTTTTTTAGTTACAGCGCTGCATTACTTTAACTGACAATTGCGCGGTCATGCAACACTGCACCCAAATTAAATTTATATCCTTTTTTTTCCCACAAATGTTTTTTTTCTTTTTTCTTTATTTTCCCACAAATAGAGCTCTTTTTCAGTGGTATTTGATTGCCTGTGTGTTTTTTATTTTTTGCGCTACAAATAAAAAAAAACAGACACTTTTGAAAAAAAAAAACCAATCTTCTTGACTTTTTGCTACCACTTGCCCTCCAGAGGATTCCCCCCCCCCCCCCTCTTTCTGACCAGGCCATTTTTTGCGATACAACGCTGACAATTGTGCAGTCATGAAACACTGCACCCAAATTAAATTTACGTCCTTTTTTCCCCCACGAGTAGAGCTTTCTATTGGTGGTATTTGATCGCCTCTGCAGTTTTTATTTTTTGAGCTATAAATAGAAAAAGACCAACAATTTTGAAAAAAAAAAACCCCAATCTTTTTGACTTTTTGCTACCACTTGCCCTCCAGAGAATTTCCCCCCCCCCCTTTCCTGCCCCCCCCCCCCCCCATTTTTCCTGCCCAGGCCATTTTCTTGTGATATGGCGCTGCATTACTTTAACTGACAATTGTGCGGTCATGCAACGCTGCACCCAAATGAAATTTATGTCTTTTTTTTCCCACAGTTTTTTTTTCTTTCTTTTCCTTTTTTTCCCCACAAATAGAGCATTCTTTCAGTGGTATTTGATCATCTGTGCATTTTTTATTTTTTCCACTATAAATAAAAACCGACAATTTTGAAAAAAAAACAAACAATATTGTTGACTTTTTGTTGTAAAACATATCCAGTAAAAAAAATTTAATAAATCAAATTTCGTCATAAATTTTCATGTCTTTGCTAAAAAAAATATCCCAATACGTGTAAATGAATTGTTTTATATGAAAGTTATAGCGTCTACAAATTAATCCACCACACCATGACACCACTACCACCAGCCTGAACCATTGATACAAGGCAGGATGGATCCACCACACCATGACACCACCACCACCAGCCTGAACCATTGATACAAGGCAGGATGGATCCATGCTTTCATGTCGTTTACGCCAAATTCTGACCCTAGCATCTGAATGTCGCAGCTGAAATCCAGACTCATCAGACCAGGCAATGTTTTTCCAATCTTCTATTGTCCAGTGTTGGTGATCCTGTGCAAATTGTAGCCTCCGTTTCATGTTCTTAGCTGACAGGAGTGGCACGCGGTGTGGTCTTCTGCTGCTGTAGCCCATCTGCTTCAAGGTTGGATGTGTTGCGCGCTCAGAGATGGTATTTTGCACATCTTGGTTGTAACGAGAGGTTATTTGAGTTGCTGTTGCCTTTCTATCATCTGGAACCAGTCTGCCCATTCTCCTTTGACATCACCAAGGCATTTTCCTCCACACAGCTGCCGCTCACTGGATATTTTCTCTTTTCAGACCATACTCTGTAAACCCTAGAGATGGTGTGTGCGTGAAAATCCCAGTAGATGAGCAGTTTTTTAAATACTCAGACCAGCTCGTCTGACACTAACAACCATGCTATGTTCAAAGGCACTTAAATCCCCTTTCTTCCCCATTCTGATGCTCGGTTTAAACTTCAGCAAGTTGTCTTCACACGTCTAGATGCCTAAATGCATTGAGTTGCTGCCGTGTGATTAGCTGATTAGCAATTTGTGTTTCCAAGCAATTGAACAGGTGGACCTAATAAAGTGGCCGGTGAGGTGAATGTATAGTAGGCCACACCGTCTCAGAACAAGATAGAAAAGAAATGGTTGTAGCGACTGAACAAGGAGGATCTAGGACTCTTCTCTGGATTTAGTGTTTATTCCTCACCTGTGCGGATCTCTGGAGGGAATTCGTCCTCCTCCTCCTTAAACAGCTCATCGACCATCTCTTCTGCTTCCTCCTTCACTTCGACTTTGATGAAACTTTCATCCTGAATAACACAAAGCGATACAATAATTTGCTTCACCTTGCATGCTGGAACAGAGTCGCAGATCCATATGTTCAGTGCCCAACTAATGGTCGTACAATGGCCGTATCCAAAATCGGATACAGTATATGTATACTTGAGATACTACATAACTCCGCCTCCCTGTCCCACTTCACATACTGTATATACATTGATTTCTTTCCAAGAAAACAATATGGCTGCCTTGACATCTTACTACAGAAGGGTTTCTAAGCACAGGGCCAGTTCAAGGCCCTTCAGATTTTGGGGGGGCAGATTGTGGCCATTGGGAGCAGAAATTGTCCTAGCGTAAGTGGGAATAAACAGTGCATCTTTGGAACTAGGGGGAAGAATAGTGCCCCATCTTTGGTGTCAGTGGGAGGAATAGTGCCCCCTCATTGGTATCAGTGGGAGTAATAGTGCCCCATCATTAGTGTCAGTGGGAGGAATATTGCCCCATCATTGGTATCAGTGGGAGGAATAGTGCCCCATCGTTGGTATCAGTGGGAGGAATAGTGCCCCATCGTTGGTATTAGTGGGAGGAATAGTGCCCCATTGTTGGTGTCAGTGGGAGGAATAGTGCCCCATTGTTGGTGTCAGTGGGAGGAATAGTGCCCCATCATTGGTGTCAGTGGGAGGAATAGTGCCCCATCACTGGTGTCTGTGGGAGGAATAGCACCCATCGTTGATGTCAGTGGGAGGAATAGTGCCCCATCATTGGTATCAGTGGGAGGAATAGTGCCCCATCATTGGTATCAGTGGGAGAAATAATGCCCCATCATTGGTGTCTGTGGGATGAATAGTGCCCCATCATTGGTGTCAGTGGCAGGAATAGTGCCCCATCGTTGGTGTCAGTGGGAGGAATAGTGCCTCATCATTGGTATCAGTGGGATAAATAGTCCCCCATTTTTTATGTCAGTAACAGAAATTATGCTTCATTGTTGGTGTCAGTGGGAAGAATAATGCCTTGCATCAGTGGGAGGAGAAGTGCCCCAAGGGCCAGATAAAGGCAGGCAAAGGGATGCAGTTTGAAGACCATTGAACTACAGGAACCATATAAAAAAAAAAAAACAACAGTGGGACACACACTGGATAGGGTGGCCACCTCATCCCTTAAGACCCGAACACATATGAAGGACACAGGATCTGTGGCTGATGAAGGTGGTAATTAATCTCACTTGGTGCCTTATCTGCAATAAATCAGCCCCAGAACCTGTGTCATTTATATGTGTTCGGTGTTAAAGGGATGAGGTGACCACCCTAGCTCCAGAGCCGTCAGCAGTCTAGAAGCTATCAGCCATAACCCAAATATTTCTTTTTTTCAGCAGATGACTCTCTCTTCTCTAAAAGCGATCAGCTGCTGGATTGCTTTTAGAAGCAAAGGGGGAGGGGAATAAAAGTGCTAAAAAAGAATATGAAGGGACAGTGTAAAAAAAATTTAAATAAAAAAAATATATAATTTTTAATTTTTTTATTCCTTTTTTTTTAAAGCACCCTCATCCCTCCGTACAGAAGCGAATCGCACAACACGTGAGGTATCACCGCAAATGTCAAAATGTCAGAGCGGAGAGAACAATAATTATAGGCCCAGACCTCCTCTGTAACTCTAACCTGGTAACCTGTAAAAAAAATTTTAAAGCGTCACCTATGGAGTTTTTTAGAATCGTAGTTTGTCACCATAACATGAGAGTGCGCAATTTTAAACCGTGACATGTTTGGTATCTATTTACTCGACGTAACATCATCTTTTATGTTGTAAAAAAAAATTGGGTTATATGTTGTGTTTTTTTTTTGCACTAAAATTTATTAAAGTGTATTCCCCCCCCCCCCCCCCCCCCAAAAAAATTGCATTTGAAAAACTGCTGAGCAATTCTCCCCATGAGACAAATAGTGCCACAATAATAATTTTATTCTCTATGGTCTCTGCTAAATATATATATATATATATATATATATATATATATATATATATATATATATATATATATAGTATCTCCCAGAAGTGAGTCCACCCCTCACATTTTTGTAAATGTTTGATTCTCTCTTTTCATGTGACAACACTGAAGAAATTACACTTTGCTACAATGTGATGTAGTCAGTGTACAGCTTGTATAACGTGTAAATTTGCTGTCCCCTCAAAATAACTCAACACACAGCCATTAATGTCTAAACCGCTGTCCACAAAAGTGAGTCCACCCCTAAGTGACAAGGTCCAAATTGGGCCCAAAGTGTCAATATTTTGTGTGGCCGCCGTTATTTTCCAGCACTGCCTTCGCCCTCTTGGTCATGGAGTTCACCAGAGCTTCACAGGTTGCCACTGGAGTCCTCTTCCACTCATCATGGACGACATCATGGAGCTGGTGGATGTTAAAGACCTTGCACTCCTCCACCTTCCGTCTTCCACTCCTCCATGACGACATCATGGAGGTGGTGGATGTTAAAGACCTTGCACTCCTCCACCTTCCGTCTTCCACTCCTCCATGACGACACCATGGACCTGGTGGATGTTAGAGACCTTGCGTTCCTCCACCTTCCATTTGAGGATGCCCCACAGATGCTCAATAAGGTTTAGGTCTGGAGACATGCTTGGCCAGTCTATCACCTTTACCCTCCGTTTCTTTACCAAGGCAGTGGTGGTCTTGGAGGTGTGTTTGGGGTCATTATCATGTTGGAATACTGCCCTGCGGCCCAGTCTCTGAAGGGAGAGGATCATGCGCTGCTTCATTGTGTCACAGTACATGTTGGCATTCATGGTTCCCTCAATGAACTGCCGGCAGCACTCATACAGCCCCAGACCATGACACTCCCACCACTATGCTTGACTGTAGGCAAGACACACTTTTCTTTGTACTCCTTACCTGGTTGTCGTCACACACGCTTGACACCATCTGAACCAAATCAGTTGATCTTGGTGTCATCATACTTGTCAGGGCTCCGGGTATGACCAGAGGTGTGTGGACCGACACAGGGAAACACAGACTTCAGGTATAGCATGTACAACAATATAATTTATTAAAGGCAACACAAACATAAACGCAGTGCAACAAACCAAACCCAAAACTAACACAAATACTTACAACAAGGTGCAACAAACCCAAACCTTAACTGATATATATATATATATAAATATGGAGAACAACGTAGTCAGGCGGGCCGGGTCGGTAGCTAACGGGCAGACAAGGTACAAGGAGTAGGCAAAAGATTGGTAAGGAGTAGCCGAGGTCGGTGCAGGCAGAGTTCAAACAGAGTCAGGATCAGGCAGGAAGCAGACAGGATGCAGGAAGTAGACAGGATGCAGGTACAGGGGCTCACGGGAACAATACACCAAGGCCCTGACTGCAGACCTGGCCATTCCTAAATATACCTCCTGCAATCAGCCCCTTGATTGCAGGCGTGAGCTTCTGGCTGCTGAGAGCACCCGCTGGCCAGCCCTGGTATTTGCAGCCGACAAGGCAGGTGAGTCCCACCACCATTGGCGAGTCCATTCCTGACAAGACCACAGTACATGGTTCCAGTTATCCATGTCCTTGGTTTGTTGTCTTCAGCAAATGTTTGCGGGCTTTCTTGTGCATCATCTTTAGAGAGAGGCTTCCTTCTGGGACGACAGCCAAGCAGGACCAATGTGATGCAGTGTGCGGCGTATGGTCTGAGCACTGACAGGCTGACCCCCCACCCCTTCACCCTCTGCAGCAATGCTGGCAGCACTCATACGTCTATTTCCCAAAGACAACCTTGGATATGACACTGAGCACGTCCAGTCAACTTCTTTGGTTGACTATGGCGAGGCCTGTTCTGAATGGAACCTGTCCTGTTAAACCGCTATATGGTCTTGGCCACCGTGCTGCAGCTCAGTTTCAGGGTCTTGGCAATCTTCTTATAGCCTAGGCCATCTTTATGTAGAGCAACAAATCTTTTTTTCAGATCCTCAGAGAGTTCTTTGCCATGAGGTACCATGTTGAACTTCCAGTGACCAGTATGAGAGAGTGAGAGGGATAACACCAAATTTAACACACCCGCTCCCCATTCACACCTGAGATCTGGTACCACTAATGAGTCACATGACACTGGAGAGGGAAAATGGCTAATTGGACCAACCTTGTCACTTAGGGGTGTACTTACTTTTGTTGCCAGCGGTTTAGACATTAATGGCGGTGTGTTGAGTCATTTTGAGGGGACAGCAAATTTACATGTTATACAAGCTGTACAATCACTACGTCACATTGTAGCAAAGTGTCATTTCTTTAGTGTTGTCACATGAAAAGATAGAATCAAATATTTACAAAAATGTGCGGGGAGGACTCACTTCTGGGTGAGATACAGTATATATATATATAAAATGTTTGGGGGTTGTGGGTGATTTTCTAGCAAAAAATACAGATTTTTACGAAGTGTCAGAAAAAGCCTGGTCCTTATGAAGATTGGGGCCCATTCAAATCTCCTAAAGCCTTCCTGCCCCAACGATAAAAAAAAGTTTATACTCAATAAAAGTATGGGAATGCAAAATATGAACTAAAATACTTGAAGCTCTGGATTGGGCAAGCTGTCGATGTGGGGGGGGGGGGGGGGGGGTCTACAGGCGTTAGGGGGCTCTGCAGCAGACTTGGTGACACTTAGGGGATGAGGCTTCTGGAAGAGGTTAGGGGGGCAACTATGCGGGAGGGGGACTCTGGAGGGAACAGTGGGTCTTTACAGCAGGCAGAGAGATTAGCAGGGTCATTATGGAAGACTGGGTGGCACTGCAGGGTCTGGGGTGCATTTTTGGAGGTGGGGGACACTATGGGAGAGGGGGGCTGGAAGCTCTGCACTGGCTGGAGGTTGGGGGGCATTGTGGGGGCTGAGGTCTGAGGGCCATTGTGGGGGTTGAGGTCTGAGGGCCGTCAGTAGGTGGGGGGGGACTGTGGAAGGTTGAGAGGCCTGTGGGCCACATGGGAGGTTGGGAGGCATGGGGGGCTGAGGCCTGAGGACCGTCAGTGGGTCCAGAAGAGGGGATGGTGGAAGGTTGAGGGGCATTGTGGGCCACTATGGGAGGTTAGGGGCATTGTGGGGGCTGAGGTCTGAGGGCCGTCAGTGGGTCCAGGGGAGGGGACTGTGGAAAGTTGAGGGGCATTGTGGGCCACTATGGGAGGTTAGGGGGCATTGTGGGGGCTGAGGTCTGAGGGCCGTCAGTGGGTCCAGGGAAGGGGACTGTGGAAGGTTGAGGGGCATTGTGGGCCACTATGGGAGGTTAGGGGGCATTGTGGGGGCTGAGGTCTGAGGACCGTCAGTGGGTCCAGGGGAGGGGAATGTGGAAGTTTGAAGGGCACTGTGAGCCACTATGGGAGGTTAGGGGGCACTAAGGGAGCTGGAAGACACTGCGGGAGGTTAGAGGATCAGCAGCTGGCTGGGGATCCAGTAGAAGGGAGGCAGTGCCCTCTCAGTTAGCCACAGATCAGTGGCTGAGGGTAGTTTGTGAGTAAACTTGGGTAATGCCTGGGCACCACCTTTATAATCACTGTGCAAATGGGGCAAAACTGAATGTTCTCCTTCTATTTCCTCTATTGGACACATATAGAGTGGCTCAGGAAAGTACTACATTAAGACCACTAGATGGTGCAGTTTGGCTGACTGAAGAGGTATGTAAACGTTTTATTAATCCACCCCAGTCTGAAGATTCGCAGAGAATAATGTATCAAGAAGAGAAAAACCTGCGTGTGCAACTAAGACAAGTATACTATCAGCTTGGTGCTTGTTTTGAACGTTGCCCTTTACTGCCCTAAAGCCTTATGTTCCATCTACCTGATCATCCTGAAGGATCTCGTCATGTTCCTCCTTGGAATTCCAGGAGTCATGAAGACTAGGACATCTCTGTGGAGGGTTTTGGTTATTTGCTGCACCTTTAAGAAATTCACATATAGTCAGAAAAGGATGTTATGTTATAATCACACAGGATGTGTATGGTGATCACCAAGGTCACTTCTACATTCATCACCTCCCATTGACTTTAATGCAAAAATGCCACCTGTTGACTTCAATGCAAAATCGCCTCCCATTGACTTCAATGCAAAAACGCCTCCCATTCACCTTAAGGCAAAACCGCCTCCCACTGACTTCAATGCAAAATTGTGTTCTATTGACTTCAATGCAAAATTGCGTTCTATTGACTTCAGTGCAAAATTGTGTTCTATTGACTTTGGCCGTAAGTATAGTTACAAACTTAGTCTGGCTGAAAAAAGACAAAAGTCCATCCAGTTCAACTACTAAAAAAAAAAAAAAAAAAAATTATAATCCTACACCCACAGTTGATCCAGAGGAAGGCAAAACAACCCAGTAAAGCATGATCCAATTTGTTCCTGCAGGGGAAAAAAATTCCTTCCTGATCCCCCAAGAGGCAATCGGATATTCCCTGGATCAACTTTACCTATAAATGTTAGTATCCAGTTATATTCTGTGTATCCAAGAAAGAATACAGGCCTTTTTTTTGAGCAATCCACTGACCTGGCCAAAAACAACTCTTGAGGGAGTCTATTCCACATTTTCACAGCTCTTACTGTGAAGAAACCTTTCTGTTTTTAGAGATTAAATTTCTTTTCCTCCAGATGTAAAGAGTGCCCCCTTGATCTCTGTGATGACCTCAGGGTGAATAGCTCTACACAGAGTTCACTATATGAACCACAGATGTATTTATACATGGCTTCAATGCAAAATCGTGTCCCATTGACTTCAATGCAAAATCTCATCCCATTGACTTTAATACAATATCGCGTCCCATTAACTTCAAAGCAATATCGCGTCCCATTAACTTCAAAGAAAAATCGTGTCCCATTGACTTCAATGCAAAATGCCTCCCTTTGACTTCAATGCCAAAATGCCTCCCATTGACCTTAAGGCAAAATCGCCTCCCTTTGACTTCAATGCCAAAATGCCTCACATTGACTTCCATGCAAAATCACCTCCCATTGACATCAATGCAAAAATTGCACCCATTGACGTCACTGCAAAAACTCCTCTCAATAGCAATCCTATGTGAACACTTATCTCCACGTGCCACTCTACTCTGTCACTGGCGAATCTGGAACGCACCGCTACAAACTCACACAGGACCCTTTTTGTAATGGCACTCAAAACACAATGCGTGTGGAGTGCATCTGTGTGAACCACCTCAAAAGTACACATAATATCTAGCCTGTCATGCCAATCAGTGAGTTTCAAAATGCAACCGTAATCGCGTATGTGTGAACCAGGACAGCTCCATTCACACCCGGGCGTTTTGGGGTTGCGGCAGAATTGCTGTCTTCACAAAAACAAAACAGCTTTCCTGCACAGATTCAAAAAGCAGGGGCAGAGCTGCAGCTCTATGTGTCTTATAGACACAGAGCCGGGCTCGGGAGCGAGCACACACCAGTGCCCTTATAGCAAGCGGCTTGCTATTGGAGGCACTAGCCAAGTGGGAGGAGCCAGGAGAGCTGGCGGGGGACCTGAAAAGAAGAGAATCGGGGTTGCTCTGTGCAAAACAATTACACAGACCAGGTAAGTATGATGTGTATGGTTTTTTTTTAAATGCCGAACCTTTAACCTTTTCACTGCCATGTCCGTATGGAAGAAGTCAGGTGGCTGTGCTGCCACCCGATTGCTTCCACAGCCCCCAGTAACAGTGCCGCCCCCCCCACGCATGCACTCCCGCCATGTATTTCAGGCTCTGCTTGCCCATCTGCTGACCCGGGGCCGATATGGAGGGTGCCAGCGGGTGGAGGGGAAAAAGGAGAGTGGATACACGTTTGCTCTACTAACCTTCTTACTGTCACCCAGAAAGTAACGTGTATGACATCACCTCTGGGTCACCGCGTCACTTTCCCTGGCGATCTGCATTACAATACATTCAGGGGAGCCGAAAGGAGATATTGGGGGTCTTTTAGATCCTCCATGTCTCGTTAAAGAGAACCTGTCACCTGAAAATCATGGGGCATGATGGGAAGAATGACAGTAACTGCTAGGAGGCATGATGGGAAGAATGACAGTAACTCCTAGGAGGCATGATGGGAAGAATGACAGTAACTCCTAGGAGGCATGATGGGAAGATTGACAGTTACTCCTAGGAGGCATGATGGGAAGAATGACAGTTACTCCTAGGATGCACGATGAGAAGAATGACAGTTACTCCTAGGAGGCACGATGGGAAGAATGACAGTTACTCCTAGGAGGCACGATGGGAAGATTAACAGTAACTCCTATAAGGCATGATGGGAAGAATGACAGTTACTCCTAGGAGGCATGATAGGAAGAATGACAGTTACTCCTAGGAGGCATGATGGGAAGATTGACAGTTACTCCTAGGAGTCATGATGGGAAGAATGACAGTTACTCCTATAAGGCATGATGGGAAGAATGACAGTTACTCCTAGGAGGCATGATAGGAAGAATGACAGTTACTCATAGGAGGCATGATGGGAAGATTGACAGTTACTCCTAGGAGGCATGATGGGAAGAATGACAGTTACTCCTAGGAGGCACGATGGGAAGATTAACAGTAACTCCCAGGAGGCACAATGGGAAGAATGACAGTTACTCCTAGGAGGCATGATGGGAAGATTGACAGTTACTCCTAGGAGTCATGATGGGAAGAATGACAGTTACTCCTATATAAGGCATGATGGGAAGAATGACAGTTACTCCTAGGAGGCATGATAGGAAGAATGACAGTTACTCCTAGGAGGCATGATGGGAAGATTGACAGTTACTCCTAGGAGTCATGATGGGAAGAATGACAGTTACTCCTATAAGGCATGATGGGAAGAATGACAGTTACTCCTAGGAGGCATGATAGGAAGAATGACAGTTACTCATAGGAGGCATGATGGGAAGATTGACAGTTACTCCTAGGAGGCATGATAGGAAGAATGACAGTTACTCATAGGAGGCATGATGGGAAGATTGACAGTTACTCCTAGGAGGCATGATGGGAAGAATGACAATTACTCCTAGGAGGCATTTTTGGAAGAGAGTTCTATGTCAGTAAACCTAAAAATCATCACATAGGGAACTTTGTGTTCCCTATGTAATAAAAAAAAAATGTATTACCACTTTAATTACCTGTGCTGATCTCCATAAGATCTTCCTCCTCTTTAATCCTCACACGTCCTTCTTCCTCCTCCTCAGTTTTGACTTCTCTCTGAGTGGTTCTGGTGTCTCTGGGGTCTATGAATAAAGAGGAGAGTGAAGCCCCCTGTACGGGGATGTATGAGAGACCCCAGAGAGTGGGTGTGGGGAGGAGACTGGTTACATCTCAATGACATGATGTGAGGAGGAGAGGCGAATTCTAATAGATGCTGATGGCTCCTGACCCCCCCTCTGGGCACATACTGTCCCCCCATTACTGTCTACTGACAGAGGAGGGGGAGAAGAAGAGATTGTTGTAGTGACTGAACAAGGAGGATCTGGGACTCTTCTCTGTTTATTCCTCACCTCTGCTGATCTCTGGAGGGGTTTCCACCTCTATACTCAACTCATCACCACTCTCATATGGATCTTCTTCATCTTTTACGTCAATTTTAATATTAATCAGATTTTCTTCCTTAGAAATACAAACAAGACGTACATTATATTTATTATTAAGACCACCTAAGCCACTCTATATTAGGTTCTGGTAAGACTTCAGTTCCATCTACCTGATCCTCCTGAGGGATCTCTTGATGTTCCTGTGTGGAGTCCCGGGAATACAGAGGACGGGGACATCTCTCTGGTGGGTTCCCATTACTGAATCCATCTACCTGATGATGGTGAGGGATGGTGGGACCTTCCTGTTTGGAGTCCCGGGAATACAGAGGACGGGGACATCTCTCTGATGGGTTCCCATTACTGGATCCATCTGTAGGAAACACACACACTGACTGAATACATTGTTTCTATGTCTTTTTATTAGAGGATGTGTGTATCTAGGTGGATTCTCAGTACAAGAAATGAAAGTCTCCTCTTACCTGGCTGGTTCTCCATCACGACGTCCTTCTACAGATCCTTCTAGATACTTGCACTCCTCTCTACACCCAGTTCCGTTCTTGGTGTAACACCAGTTCTTTTCCTGTAATAAATCAATAGAAGCTCATATAAATATAAAGAGAAAATATAAAAAACACTGCAGCCGTCAAAGTAAGGAAGCTCTGAGAGATAAAAGTGTGTGTTAACCACTTGACCTTCAAAAGATTTTACCCCCTTCTTTACCAGGCTATTTTTTGCTACTTTAACTGGCAATTGCACGGTCATGCAACGCTGTACCCAAAAGAAATTTTATATAATTTTTTTCAAACAAATAGAGCTTAATTTTCGTAGTATTTTATCACTTTTTTTTTTTTAATTATATAAATGAAAAAAAGACCGAAAATTAAAAAAACAATATTTTCTACTTGGTTAAAAAATGTGAAAAAATGTAATTTCTTCATAAATGTAAGCCAAAATGTATTCTGATACATGTCTTGTTTGTGTGAAAGTATTGCGCCTACAAACTATGGAATATATACTGGAATTTGTTTTGTTTTTACTAGTAATTATGGTGATCAGCAACTTATAGTGGGACTGTGTGGAAGGTAAACTGACACTAACTGACACTGGGGGGAACTGACACTGACCTCTCCAGTGACACTAAATGGTGATCAGTGATAATGCTATATAATGTCAATATGCTAATGACACTGGCTCAGAAGGGGTTAACATTTATGGGCAATCAAATGGCTATCTGTGTGCCTAAGTATGTGAAGTATGTGCTGCTGTCCTAAGTAATGTGCCGGTTTTTACTCCCTGCTTTGCAGGATAAAAAAATGGCACATCGCTGCTATCTGTAGAGAGCCCTGTGTTGTTTACCGACACAGAGCTCTCTTCCCATCATGCCTCCTAGGGGTAACTGTCAACCTTTCCATCATGCCTCCTAGCAGTAACTGTCAATCTTCTCATCATGCCTCCTAGGGGTAACTGTCAACCTTTCCATCATGCCTTCTAGGAGTAACTGTCAATCTTCCCACCATGCCTCCAAGGAGTAACTGTCAGTTTTCCCATCATGCCTCCTGGGAGTAACTGTCATTCTTCCCATCATGCCTCCTAGGAATAGCTGTCAACCTTCCCATCGTGCCTCCTAGGAATAACTGTCAACCTTTCTATCGTGCCTCCTAGGAGTAGCTGTCAATCTTCCCATCATGCCTCCTGGGAGTAACTGTGAGACTTCCTATCATGCCTCCTAGAAGTAACTTTCAGTTTTCCCATCATGCCTCCTAGGAGTAACTGTCATTCTTCCCATCATGCCTCCTAGGAATAACTGCCATTCTTCCCATCATGCCTCCTAGGAATAACTGTCAACCTTTCTATCGTGCCTCCTAGGAGTAACTGTCAATCTTCCCATCATGCCTCATGGGAGTAACTGTCAGTCTTCCCATCATGCCTCCTGGGAGTAACTGTCACCAATTCCATCATGCCTCCTAGGACTGTCAGTTTTCCCATCATGCCTCCTGGGAATAACTGGCAACCTTCCCATCATGTCTCCTGGGGGTAACTATCATTCTTCCTATCATGCCTCCTAGAAGTAACTGTCATTCTTCCCATTATGCTTCTTAGGAATAACTGGCAACCATTCCATCATGCCTTTGCCTCTTGGTGTTACGCTAATAACAGTCAGTCTTACATTGCCTCATGGGATATGTAGTTCCACAACAGCTGGAAGGTGCCAGTTGCCCACCCCTGAAGTATATGAACCCACTATGGAAGTTGCAGGCGAGTTTATTCCTCAACAGACATCGTTTAGTAAGACGCAGATTGTGGCTTTCCAATGAATACGGCCCCCAGACCCCCCATTTAATATTCTACACATCACAGGAAGATGAGAATTTGTGGAGGAATATTCTACACATCACAGGAAGATGAGAATTTGTGGTGGTGACACCCCCCCCCCCCCCATCCAGTCCACACACTGTGCTGGGACCCCCTTCTCTCATAATAATAAATAATTATTATTACCTCCTCCTCCCTTTGCACACACTCTCTGGCCTCATACCACCTCCAGAAGAAATCTCCAGTTATAATCTCCTTCCTTCCTATCTGCCTGGTCCACAACAAAATGGCCGCCGCCCCTCCTGCGCTGAGGACATTTCTATCACTTATATTGTAAACGTTCGCCCTCTAGTGGTGGATCTGAACTAAACTGCCTCTGCCTTCTTGAGGATTGTCCGAGAGCTCGCCTGGGCGTCACTATGGCAACCAGGAAGCCCCACCTGGAAAGCCGTGGAACGCACACAGCCGAAGTGCATCAACCACAGAGCAGAAATGATCTTAACCACTAGCCTACAGGGCACTTATACCCCCTTCCTGCCCAGGCCAATTTTCAGCTTTCAGCGCTGTCACACTTCGAATGATAATTGCGCGGTCATGCAACACTACCCATATGAAATTTTTGTAATTTTTTTGTGACAGATAGAGCTTTATTTTGGTGGTATTTAATCACCTTTGGGTTTTTAATTTTTCTTAAACCAAAAAGCACTGAAAATTTTGAAAAAATTAAGTTTTTTCTTAGTTTTTGTTATACAATTTTGTAAATAAGTGATTTTTCTCCTTCACTGATGTGCGCTAATGAGGCTGCAGTGATGGGTAATGATAGGCTGCACTGATGGACACTGATAGGTGGCACTGATGGGCATTGACAGGCATCACTGATGGGCATTGAAAGGTAGCACTGATACATGGCACTGATAGGCAGCACTGATAGGCGGCACTGAAGCACACTGATAGGCGGCATGACTGGCACTGATAGGTGACACTGATTGGCATTGATAGGTGGCACTGATGGGTGACACTGAAAGGCAGTTTAGATGGGCACTGATATGTTGCATTGATGTGGCACTGATGAACACTGGCAGAAGGCACTGATGGACACTGACAGCTGGCACTGCTGGGGCTACACTGATCATCAGTGCACTGATGATCAGTGCACATGTCCCCTCCGCGGAAAGCCGATTACCAGCTCTCCTCTCGAGCTGTCAGCGTGACAGCTCGTGAGGAGGGAAATGCCGATTAACCGGCATTTCCCTGTTTGCATGTGATCAGCTGTGATTGGACACAGCTGATCACATGACCGAGCCGACATCTTCAGCTCTTTCCGTGATTGGTGATCCGCTGTGTCTGAGGGACACAGCGCAACGCCAATCGGCGCGCGCTCCCTGAGCCGCACATGCGCTGTGAGAATGGGAGGACGTCATATGACATCCTCCCAGAACAAGAGAACCATCTTGCGCCCTGTCATATTACTATATGGCTGGCGGGTCGTGGTTAAAGGCACAACTCCCTTTTTAAAAAAAAAAGTCAGCCAATACAAATACTGTAGCAACTGGCTTTTAGGAAGCCGATACTTACCAGTCCCTGGAGTTCAGCGGTGTCTTCCCACAGCCATTTCTTCTCACAGCTGCATGTCCCCAGTGCCGCTATCTTGGATTTGGGAGCCGCCTGTGACTTCAGAGCCAGCTCCCCACTGCACGTATGCAAGATGGCGCGGTGCTGTAGGATGGGTCCTACTGCCACCTCCTCAGACGCGTACCAGGAGGCAGTAGGCTGGGAAGGTGCAGGCCGAAGCAGACAAGCTCTAGCGTTGGCGTATGAACGCATGTATACACACATGTTACATTCAGCACAAATTCTGCTGGGCTAATGAAGAATATGAATTTATTCTGGCCATTGCAATCACTCATGCACTTATATGTGTTTAGATGCATTTATGTCTGTAAAATAATGCCGATAAAAAAAGGTTTTGCCTATAGTGCTACTTTGGGAATAAATGAATTTAATTTTTAATCCTCTACACTGCCAGACGATTTTAAGTAAAGTCACTTTTACCTGTCGGCCCGTGTATGTCCTTGTATGTGGACACTTCAGGCAGCTCCTCTATAGGCCCCATCCATACTAACAATGACACTGACCCCCCCATACTTACTCCTAAGGACTCAATCTTCCCATCATGCCTCCTAGGAGTAACTGTCATTCTTCCTATCATGCCTCCTAGGAGTAAATGTCATTCTTCCCATCGTGCCTCCTAGGTGTAACTGTCAGTCTTCCCATCATGCCTCTAATAAAATTGTCATTGTTCCCATCGTGCCTCCTAGGAGTTACTGTCATTCTTCCCATCATGCCTCCTAGGAGTAACCATCAATGTTCAGATCATGCCTCGTAGTAGTAACTATCAGTCTTCCCATCATGCCTCCTAGGAGTAACTCATGAACTCATTGTTCACATCATGCCTCGTAGGAGTGACTGTCAGTCTTCCCCATCATGCCTCCTAGGAGTAACTGTCATTTTTCCCATCATGCCTCCTAGGAGCAACTGTCATTTTTCCCATCAAGCCTCCTAGGAGTAACTGTCATTCTTCCCATCATGCCTCCTAGGAGTAATTGTTATTCTTCCATCATGCCTCCTAGGAGTAACTGTCATTTTTCCCATCATACCTCCTAGGAGTAACTGTCATTCTTCCCATCATGCCTCCTAGGAGTAACTGTTAGTCTTCCCATCATGCCTCCTATCCATACTAACAATGACACTAACCCCCCCCCCCCCATACGTATTCCTAAGGGCTCATTCAAACTAGCGGGGCTGTAAAAACCTGTGATTTTGTCGCCCCTCAACCGCTCCCGCTTAACCTCAAACATAAAATATGAACAAAGCACATCCCTCTGTAGTGTGTACTTGTCTCAGTCCAGAGCACTAAGTGTCATTTCTGTCTGCTACTTCCTTCCTCTGCTATCAGCATGAGTTACTTCTGACAAGTTTTCCTGACACCAAGAAAAACAATGGTGACAGGGGAGGGACCTCCAGCAGATTGACAATCTTAGCCCTGTTCCTGTGAACCCTGTGGATGCTGTACACATGGTGAATAGCATAGGAACGTTATAGCAGAAGGTGAATAGGGACTGGAGAGAGAGAACTGAGCAGCTGAGGATCAGCAGACCTGGGGGACCAGAGCGGGATGAACCAGCAAATGTCATATGTGGTGCGCTCCATGGAAGCATTTTAGTGGGAGGTGAGCGGGGGCTGGAGAGGATCAGCAAACCAGAGGATCTGCAGAGCTGTAGGTTACTACTGAGTGGGGGATCTGCAGAGCTGTAGGTTACTACGAGTGAGGGATCAGCAGAGCTGGGGGACTGAGTGGGGGATCAGCAGAGCTGTAGGTTACTACTGAGCGAAGGATCAGCAGAGCTGGCGTTACTACTGAGTGGGGGATCAACAGAGCTGTAGGTTACCACCAAGGAAGGAATCAGCAGACCTGGGGGTACTACTGAGTGAGGGATCAGCAGAGCATGGGGTACTACTGAGCGGGGGATCAGCAGAGCTGGCGGTACTACTGAGTAAGGGATCAGCAGAGCTGGGGGTACTACTGAGCAGGGGATCAGCAAAACTGGGGGTACTACTACATGTGGGATGAGCAGAGCTGGGAACACTACTGAGTGGGGGATCAGATGAGCTGGAGGTTACTACTGAGCAAGGGGGCAGCAGCAGAGCTGGGGGTACTACTGAGCAGGGGGATCAGCAGGGCTGTAGGTTACTACCAAATGAGAGATTTCAGCAGAGCTGGGGGTTACTACTGAGTGGGGGATCAGCAGAGCTGTAGGTTACTACCGAGTGAGAAATCAGCAGAGCTGGGGGTACTACCGAGCAAGAGATCAGCAGAGCTGTAGGTTACTACCTAGTGAGAGATCGGCAGAGCTGGGGGTACTACTGAGCAGGGGATCAGCATCGCTGGGGGTACTACTACATGTGGGATGAGCAGAGCTGGGGGCACTGCTGGTTGGGGGATCAGATGAGCTGAAGGTTACTACTGAGCGAGGGCAGCAGCAGAGCTGGGGGTACTACTGAGCAGGGGAGCAGTAGAGCTGGGGGTTACTTCTGAGCAGGGAGGTGGAGGTGGGGGTACTACTGAGTGGGGGATCAGCAAAGCTGGGGTACTACTGAGTAGCAGAGCAGGAGAGCTGGAGGTACTACTGAGCAGGAAGATCAACAGAACTGGGGGTTACTACTGAGCAGGGAGGTGGAGGTACTACTGAGTGGGGGATCAACAGAGCTGGGGTAATACTGAGTAGGACAGCAGGAGAGCTGGAGGTACTACAGAGCAGATGAGCAACAGAGCTGAGGGTATTACTGAGCAGGGGAGCAGCAGAGATGGTGGTACTACTGAGCGGGTGAGCAGTAGAGCTGGGGGTTACTACTGAGCAGAGGATCTGCTGAACAGGGTACTTCTGAGCCAGGGTTCAAATAGGCCCCTTTAAAATAAACAGAAAATCAACACACACAGGGCATTTGTTTCATTAAAGCTTCAAAAAGCATCACAGAAGTATCAAAAACACAATGAAAAATACCCAGTGAAGTGGCAGGAGCTTTAATGTGTGTTAAAATTAAAGCGGCTTCAAACGAGCCCTTGTTTGCACTGGGATACATGGACAGAATCTGGCCAAATCACGTAGCGCTTCCTCCTCCCACATGCCATGGCTCTGCCCTGTTGGGGTGAAATGCATAGAAGCAGAAGGCGCCATGTGCTTTGGCTTGGTGCATCTATCCAAGTGAACGTGACGGATGTACAGCTTTCTTTGCCGAGCCCAGTGTACCCTGGAGAAATGAATGGCCCCCACTGCGTCAGACCCCCGTGGTTGGCGGGAAGGTCAGGAGACTCGTCGGCGTGGTATGCTCTTGGTGGTTTCCCCAAATGCTCCGACAGTTCCTGGTAGAGATAGAGCTTGTCCACCCAATTAGCCGCTCCTTACTATGATGGGCTTACTGGCTAATAGGAATGTGGAGATGGCAGGAGGATAGTCAACAGTACGAGGTCACAAGGGGCCCAGCCTTCAGGTGGGATGGCAAGACTTGGAGGGCTTAAAATATTTTTACATTTTTATGGTGTCTAAGGCCCCCTTACGCGGGCCATACACGGGTCGATTTCAGAAAAAATTTTCTTTCCAAAATTTTTTCTAAGAATGTTTGTTCAAATTTCGCACATTAGTGGGTCACAGAAACAGACGATTTTTGTGTGACCATCGAATTTGAGTAATCGGGCATGTTGGAAATTTTCTGAAAAACTAACAAATTTTGAATCCACGATGGGAGAATCGTGCGAGAAATATAAAGCTGTGACCTGGAAAGAAAATTATTTTGTGTAGCAACACGAGGTAAAATTAAAGGCTTGGTTGGTCGAATTTTGAAAATCAATGGTGGCGCCGTCGGTTTACAAAATGCATGAAATTTCCGATTTTCTAAAAATTTGTTCGGAATTCGACCCATGTATGGCCGGCATTAGTGGGGAAATTGAAGGGTCAGAAGACAGCTGCGCTGGAGTTGACCTTTAATATGTTTCTAGACCATTTGGGTGTATTTGTCCAATTTTTCGGCATCCATACCAGACCCCGAAATGCACCAATCAGAACTCAGCTTCCTCCTCCCGACACAAGATCTTGTCCCTTGTGGGAATTGAGATGTGACACAAAGAAGGATTTTTTTTGTGAATCCTTTCCCGCACTCGGAGCAGGAGTATGGCTTCTCCCCAGTGTGGACTTTTTCATGGGTAGCAAGGTATGACTTTTCGGAAAAGCACTTCCCGCACTCCAGACATGAATAAGGCTTCTCCCCTCTGTGAATTTTTTCATGGGCCACAAGATTCGATCTCACGGCGAAGCACTTCCCACACCCCAAACACGAATATGGCTTCACCCCGGTGTGAGTCCTCTCGTGCATGTTAAGCTGAGCTTTCTGAGAAAAACATTTCCCACACTCCGAACAGGAATGCGGTTTCTCCCCGGTGTGGATTTTTATATGGGCATTCAGAGAAGATTTACAGGAAAAACACTTCCCACACTCAGTACACGAATAGGGCTTCTCCCCTGTGTGGATTTTACCATGGATAAGAAAAGAGGACTTGTGCGAAAAACACCTCCCGCAGACTTCACACGAAAACGGTTTCTCCCCCGTGTGCACTTTTTTATGGGCGACGAGGGATAATTTGTGCGAAAAGCTTTTCCCACATTCGGCACATGAATACGGCTTCTCTCCTGTGTGAACTTTTTCGTGGTTGATCAGAGTCGTTTTCTGGGCAAAACACTTCCCGCACTCTAAACACGGAAACGGCTTTTCCCCAGTGTGGGTCTTCATGTGTACAATCAGATTTCTTCTATGGAAAAAGCTTCTCTCGCATTCTGAGCACGAAAAAGGCCTCTCGCCGGAGTGAATTCTTTGATGCTTAGCAAGAATACATCTTTCAGTGAAACGTTTCCCGCACTCCAAACAGGGATACGGCTTCTCGCCAGTGTGAGTTCTCTGGTGTCTAGTAAATTGCTGTTTTTCGAAATAACATTTCCCGCACTCTGTACACGGATAGATCTTCTGCCTTTTGTGAGTCTTTCGGTGTGAGGTGAGGTCCACCCTCCGTGTGAAACATTCGCCGCACTCGGAACATGGGAAGGTCTTACCCTGTCTGCGGCCTATGTGATGGGTTCTATGAGGTGCGGGACTCCTTGCATGAAGAAGCGATAACCTTCCACTGGGAAGTACATGAGGGACAGCTGAAGTCATGGTGCCTTCTTTTGATGAATAAGATGTTGTTTCATTATTGTCTTCTAATTTACCATTTGGAGGGATCACGGTAGGATTCTCTTGGTTAGTACTGCTGTGTCTTCCCTCTGGATTAAAAAAAAATTTTTTTTAAAGTGGTTGTAAACCTCAGACATGAAATATGAACAAAGCACATCCCTCTATAGTGTGTTCTTGTCTCAATCCAGAGCACTAAGTGTCATTTCTGTCTGCTGCCTCATCCCTCTGCTATCAGCATGAGTCACTTCTGACAAGTTTTCCTGACACCAAGAGAAAAAAGGTGACAGGGAGGGACCTCCAGCACACAGCCTGTGATTGACAGTCTCAGCTCTATTCCTGTGTGCTGTGTGAAGGGGTGTGTGTCCCTTCCCTCCAATCAGTTCTCGCTGAGTTCTGCAGAGTGTAATGCTAGATTTCCAACCCCTGCTTTCTGAAAGCTCAGATAAGCTTTATAAATGCTGCATTTTGAACAGATGTAGATAAGAGAGAGCGGCAGATAAACAGGTACCAGAGGATTTGTTTAATCTCTGTGTATCATCTACATGGGTGGATACTACTGAATGGGGGATTAGCAGAGCTGGGGGTACTACTGAGCAGGAAGATCAACAGAACTGGGGGTTACTACTGAGCAGTAGGATCATCAGAGCGGGGGGTACTACTGAGCGGGGGATCAGCAGAGCTGGGGTACTACTGAGCGGGGGATCAGCAGAGCTGGGGTTACTACTGAGCGGGGGATCAGCAGAGCTGGGGGTGCTACTGAATAGAAGGATCAGCAGAGCTTGGGGTACTACTGAGGGGGGATCAGCAGAGCTGGGGGTGCTACTGGGCAGGAGGATCAGCAGAGCTGGTGGTACTACTGAGCAGGAGGATCAGTAGAGCTGGGGGTACTACTGAGCGGGGGATCAGCAGAGCTGGGGGTTACTACTGAGCAGGGGATCAGGAGAGGTGGGGGTGCTACTGTGCAGGGGATCAGCAGAGTGGGGGGTACTACTGAGCGGGAAGATAAACAGAACTGGGGGTTTACTACTGAGTGGGGGTACTACTGAGTGGGGGATCAGCAGAGCTGGGGATGCTACTGAGCGGGGGATCAGCAGAGCTGGGGGTGCTACTGAGCAGGAGGATCAGCAGAGCTGGGGGTACTACTGAGCAGGAGGATCAGCAGAGCTGGGGGTGCTACTGAGCAGCAGGAGGATCGGCAGAGCTGGGGGTACTACTGAGCGGGAAGATAAACAGAACTGGGGGTTACTACTGAGTGGGGTACTACTGAGCGGGGGATCAGCAGAGCTGGGGGTGCTACTGAGCAGGAGGATCAGCAGAGCTGGGGGTGCTACTGAGCAAGAGGATCAGCAGAGCTGGGGATGCTACTGAGCGGGGGATCAGCAGAGCTGGGGATGCTACTGAGCAGGAGGATCAGCAGAGCTGGGGGTTCTACTGAGCAGGAGGATCAGCAGAGCTGGGGGTGCTACTGAGCAGGAGGATCGGCAGAGCTGGGGGTACTACTGAGCGGGAAGATAAACAGAACTGGGGGTTACTACTGAGTGGGGTACTACTGAGCGGGGGATCAGCAGAGCTGGGGGTGCTACTGAGCAGGAGGATCAGCAGAGCTGGGGGTGCTACTGAGCAAGAGGATCAGCAGAGCTGGGGGTATTACTGAGTGGGGGATCAGCAGAACTGGGGGTACTACTAAGCGGGATAAACAGGTACAAGGAGGATTTGTTTCATCCCTGGGTATCATCTGAGTGTATTCACTTTGCTGGGCATACATAAGAGTTTACAACCACTTTAACCCGCTTATGTTTTGCTTCCCTTCCCTGTTTCTTCCTTTTCCTGCTTATCTACATGCTAAAATATGTGTCAGTAAAACCTGCACTCTGTTTTAAACCTCAGTGATGTCACCACTCGATCTCTGTGCTTCACTATGCAATGCAGGCAGATCTTAGATGGAAGGAACTATTACATGCATACTCACCTGTGCTGATGTCTGGAGGGATTTCCTCCTCCTTAAACCGCTCATCTCCCCTCACATACGGCTCTTCTGCTTCCTCTTTCATTTCCATTTTAACAACAGTCCTATTTTTTTTTACCCTACACAACACAAAACAATACAAAAGATAAATCCGGAGATTTCAAAATAATCACAGTCTTGTGGAACAATCTCATCGTTCCGCGTGTTCACCGCTCAAGATGGACACCTAGAATGGATGGACTCACGGGTGTCAAACTGGCGGCCCTCCAGTTGTTGCCAAACTACAAGTCCCATGAGGCATTGCAAGATTGACAGTTACAAGCATGACTCCCAAAGGCAGAGGCATGATGGGACTTGTAGTTTCGCAACAGCTGGAGGGCCACCAGTTTGACACCCCTTTGTTATGTGGTAGGTTTGTACAATTGACCTCCCCTTGGAACATCTGGATCACTTTTATCCCTTTCATTCAATTTAAAAATCCCTAACCCTAGGTTCACATCTAAGCGTTTTTTCTGCCACGTTTGCAGAAACGCAGTACAGTCATGGTTGACATGATTTCCTATGGGACAGGTTCACATCTCCAAGTTTTTACCCATGTATGGCCTACTATCAAAAATTAAAAAAAAATTGGGGCTTTAGATGTACTTTAAGACCCACTGTTACATTTACCTGATGACCTTGAGGGATCTGGTGAACTTCCTGTGTGGACCTCCCAGAACTCAGTGGATGTCTCTCTGGTGGGTTTCGTTTATTAGGTCCACCTTCAAATAAATTGACATATATACAATGTCACTATAAGACATACATTCACATTATGACGCAATAGGAGGCAATGAATGAAATGGTAAAGCAGCAGATTGGGATATGAAGAGTATCTCTCAAGGGGAAGAAAGGGGATTTGGGTGGCTTTGAACATGGCATGGTTGTTGGTGCCAGAAGGGCTGGTTTGAGTATTTCAAAAACTGCTGATCTACTGGGATTTTCACATACAACAATCTCTTGGGTTTACAGAGAATGGTCCGAAAAATAGAAAATATCCAGTGACCGGCAGTTGGGTGGAGGAAAATGCCTTGTTGATGTTGGAGGAGAATGGGCAGACTGGTTCCAGATAATAGAAAGGCAACAGTAACTCATATCAATATGGACCAAAATCTCTGAGAAATTGTTTCCATTACCTTGTTGGATCTATACTACAAAGAATGAAGGCCGTCCTGAAGGCCAAAGGGGGTCCAACCCAGTACTAGCAAGGTGGACCTAATACAGTTGCCGGTGAGTGTATATATATTGACTGTTCTTTGTGATGTACAGTATATATTATAGCCCTGATGAAGGAGGCTTCTTGGAAGCCAAAATAGGTTGGCATTTTCTACCAAATGCAACAAAACTGCACTGGACCAACATTTATGGCTTTGCACTCTCTTCCCTAATCCTTTCACTAGGGTTGCACCATTATCGTTTTATTTTTTATCGGCAAGGAGTACCGATACTTGTGCTCAAGTACCCCCCCACTACCGATTCCTCTGAGTACTGTCTTTTTCCTATGTGTTGTCTAAGCTTAGTTGTCAAAAGGGTGCCCCCCTTCCCCACATAGCCGTCCGACCACACAGATAGAAAAAAGATGGCTGCTTTGACAGATGGTAATTTTCTCCATCTTGAAGGACTTGCCCGAGACAAACACCTCACAAAGAATGCCGGGGGAAGGGGGCTTGTCAGCTGAATTGTCTGAGGCAAGTGGACAGGAGCTTGGTACTTGCCATCTGCAAAAAAGTAATCTCCTGCATTTTCGGACGGTCATGGAGGGAGGAGAGTGTCCTGTCTGACCACACAGCTAGGCTTAGACTGCTCCTAAGAAGTTGGAACACATACTCACCTGGGGAGCAGAATGCATAAAAATGAAAATGAGACTTCTTCTTTAAAACAAAGCAGAGCTCTTCACTCCATCCAAAACCAAAAAAAAAAAAAAAAAACTGTACTACTGTCAAGCTTATATCTCTGAATAAAAACCACTGACCACATTCCAAACATCTCCTCACCTTCGTGAAGACCCGTGTGTTTGACTAGACTCCTTTTTCGAGCAAAACTCATCCCACATTCAGAACACAAAAATGGCTTCTCCCCCGTGTGGACTCGTCCGTGTTTGGTAAGAGCAGACTTCTCTGAAAAACGTCTCCCGCACTCAGAACAAGAATACGGCTTCTCCCCGGTGTGGGTTCTCCGGTGTAAAACAAGTTTGGCATTTTGGTAAAAAACACTTCCCGCATTCCAAACACGAAAAAGGCTTTTCCCCAGTGTGAGTCTTTTGATGGGCGATAAGCTGTCCTCGGAGGGAAAAGCATTTCCCACATTCAGGACACGAATACGGCTTCTCCCCCGTGTGAGATCGCTGATGTAAAACAAGCTTGGATTTTTGGTAAAAACACTTCCCACAATCCCAGCATGAATAGGGCTTGACCCCTGTGTGAGTCTTCTGATGGTAATTGAAACCTGACTTGTTAAAAAAACATTTCCCGCATTCTGGACATGAATATGGCTTCTCTCCCGAGTGAATTATCTGGTGCTTATTAAGGCGTGACCTGTCCACATAGCGTTTCCCACATTCAGAACACGAGTATGGTTTCTCTCCTGTGTGAGCCATCTGATGTGAGAGAAGATATTCTCTCTGGAAGAAAGATTGGCCACATAATGGACATGAAAATGATTTCTTTTCCAGGTGAGTTGTCTGGTGCTTGACCAGTTCCCACCGTTCAGAGAAACTTTTATCGCATTGAGAACATGAATACGGCTTCTGAGCCAAATGAGTTTTCTGATGTCTATCCAGTTTTTTCTTCATACAAAAACTTTTCCCACAATTGGAACATGAATATGGCTTCTCCTTCTTGTGACTTATCTGGTGAGAGGTGAGGTCCTCCCTCTCAGTAAAATGTTTACCACACTCAGTACATGAATATGGCTTCTCCCTTATGTGGCTTCCCTGGTGGGAGATGAGGTCCTCCCTCTCGGTAAAATGTTTACCACACTCAGCACATGAATATGGCATTGCCCTTATGTGGCTTCTCTGGTGGGAGGTGAGGTCCTCTCTCTGGGTAAAATGTTCACCACACTCAGCAAATGAATATGGCTTCTCCTTCTTGTGGCTTCTCTGGTGGGAGGTGAGATCCTCCCTCTGGGTAAAACATCTGCCACATTCAGAACACAAGAAGGCTCCATCCTCTCTATGATCTGTGTGATGAGTGATGGGAGGTGAGTGCTCAGGAAAATTCCCCGCATGTGTTGAGGGATCAAATGATGGATCTGCCGTATGATGGAGGTTGGGGGTAACGGGTCGGTTTTCTTCTGAAACCTCAGCTGGAATGTCACCATTTTCTTTTTCTCGTTCGAAAGCGTTAATGTGACATTTGCCCCACCTTTTCCTGTTCTGCCCTTCATCTAGAGGAAATGAACAAAGGTAAATCAGAATATTTAAAAACGAATGCTTGTTTTTAACAGAAGGAAACACCTCAAAGCAGGACTCAAGCCAAAAAAAAAAAAGGAGATAAAAACAGCCCATTACAAAGTACAGTAACAAATCTAGCTTTTGCTGCAATATTAATCTTAAAGCCTTTGTTCTGATCAGTGTCCCGTCAGAGAGATGTCATCCTGCACCAAGTATGAAGCCACTTCTGGGTGGGTAGCTGTCAGGAATGGACTAGCCAGCAATGGTGGGACTCACCTGCCTTTTGATCTGCAGTACCAGGGCTGGCCAGCGGATGCTCCCAGCAATCAGAGACTCAACTTTGCAGCCAGCTAACACCTGGAACTGATTATGCTGGTGTATTTAAGGGATGGCCAGACTTGCAGACTCTGCCTTGGTGTTGTGTTTCTCTTGGGCCCTGTATCCTGTTCCTGCTCTCTGTTCCTGTCTGATTCTCTGCTACCTGTTCTGATCCCTGGCTTGTCTGACCATCCCTCTGCCTGACCCTCTGTACTACGCTGCCTGCTACCTGTTCTGATCCCTGGCTTGTGACCCTGACCATCCCTCTGCCTGACCCTCTGTACTACGCTGCTAGCTACCTGCTGAACCTGGCCTGTGACCCCGACCAATCTCCGCTTGCTCCCCCTGTACCTACCTGCCCAATTGATATTGACCCGGCCTGCCTGACGACGCTTGCTTGTATGTAAACCATATAAATGCTGCGCTACATTCAAACTTATTAAGTGAATGTGGAATCCAATGACACAAATCCAATATAGTGACAATAATAATGAAATAAATAATACGTGCTTACTGATAACAAAATTATCAAATAAAATAAAACACCCAAAAAGATGAAAAAAACACAAACTTAAATCTATACGCATGTGCATGAAAATACACATACATATAATTACATCACACGTGCAAATGTGAAGTGAAATAATGGTTACTTATTAAACGCAAACAAAAAGTCCAATATAAAAATGTTGAAGGTGAACAAAACTGTAAACGGTGTTTCAAATAATACTGTAAAGTGACCACAGGTGAAAACAAATCGTGCAGGTATCTGGGTGTAGATAGAGCTTATGAATCCAACCACCTTCTGGATTAGCCTCTCACCTCATCACTTCGACCCTTGCGGATCAAAGAGCAATAATGGATCCCTCTCACAGATCCTCCAGGTACCACAGCCCTGATGAAGTCACGTGTTATTGTGACGTAACGCGTCGGCGTAAGCGCGGGTGACGTATTTCCGGCGTGGCGGCCATCTTGGTACACCTGTTATTCAGCTGTACACCCAACAAACACAGATATATCCTCATCTGAGAGCATGAGGGTCTCATGTGGACTGGCTGCTATGTAAGTGGAATTTTTACCAAAAAGTTTTATGTTCCTATGTTCCTATGGTATAATAAATATACTACACTATGGGAGGATTCCTCTGTTTTGTTCTGAGAGATTGATATTTCACCTATACCTGGAGAAGAGCTTGAGTGGGAATATTAAATCCTGAAAAGCGTTTCTGGAGTGCTGTGGTACCTGGAGGATCTGTGAGAGGGATCCATTATTGCTCTTTGATCCGCAAGGGTCGAAGTGATGAGGTGAGAGGCTAATCCAGAAGGTGGTTGGATTCATAAGCTCTATCTACACCCAGATACCTGCACGATTTGTTTTCACCTGTGGTCACTTTACAGTATTATTGGAAACACCGTTTACAGTTTTGTTCACCTTCAACATTTTTATATTGGACTTTTTGTTTGCGTTTAATAAGTAACCATTATTTCACTTCACATTTGCACGTGTGATGTAATTATATGTATGTGTATTTTCATGCACATGCGTATAGATTTAAGTTTGTGTTTTTTTCATCTTTTTGGGTGTTTTATTTTATTTGATAATTTTGTTATCAGTAAGCACGTATTATTTATTTCATTATTATTGTCACTATATTGGATTTGTGTCATTGGATTCCACATTCACTTAATAAGTTTGAATGTAGCGCAGCATTTATATGGTTTATATTCACTTGATCACTGGTATATGATTTAATGCTAGCAGCTGTTTGGGGTTCATATATTTAATTTGTTTTAATTGTTTAAACACATTATTTGGAGCGCAGGAGGGTCTCACCACTATTGCTTGCTTGTATGTACTGTTATCTGTGGGTGGTTGGTTTGGTTTGTTTGCACTGTATTATGTTTAGTATTGCACTGCGTTTATGTTTGTATTGTTAGTGTTAATAAATTATATTGTTTATAATCTGAGGTCTGCGTTTCCCTGCGTCAGTCACACACCTCTGGTCACACCTGGGAGCCCTGACAGTAGCTCTGAGACTTGGGCTCGGTAGTCCAGTGTGTCCCTATTACTTGGTAAAAAGGGGAGGATTCTATGTCGACTATCCCTCCAGCTGGATCTAAATCAGCACCTTTGCTTGGGAACATTATGGTGACCATTGCAATTAGGGAAGTCCACCTCCCACCATCACCCTGCCACCTGTGTTCACCATTTGCTACCTGCCTGAGGAAGGGGCAATCGCTACAACCCCTGCCCCGGCTTGCTGTCTTTTCTTGAAGCCCTGGGAAGGAACCTTTCTTCCGCTACAGCTGCTTTCTAGTAACCATGGTTGGTTGCAGCTCTGGAGTGGGTGGGCGGGCACGCTTTCCATTCATAGGCTAGCTTCACCCTCATGGATTGTGAGATTGTTCAGGGTAACGCAATGCATATTAAAGCACCATGCGTGCATTAGTGTGTTGCGGTGTCATTCATGTTGAATGAACCTTCTTCGAAGTGTGACGCAGGGTACGGTAATATATTGCACCAGGACAATGGTGCAGGTGCCGCCGGAGCACCACTTCTGCTGTGATTGGACACAGCAGAAGCCGATCAATAGGTGCTGGCCAATGGATGAGCTCTGGCACCTGTTGATCGTTGGAGAGTGACAGGACACAGCTCTGCCTATGTAAACAAGGCAGAGCTGAATCCTGTCAGCGGCAATCTGCTAGATTTTCAGGGAATAAAATCTAGCAGATTGCCTAGTAAAAGCACCTTACTGCGTACACAAAACACATAGCTAGGCACACAGCTAACCCTTTGATCACCCTAGATGTTTAACCCCTTTCCTGCCAGTGTCATTAGTACAGTGACAGTGTATAGTTTTAGCACTGATCACAGTATCAGTGTCAATGGTTCCCACAAAATTCCAGTATATATCCCATAGTTTGTAGACGCTATAACTTTTGCACAATCCAATCAATAGACACTTATTGGGATTTTTTTTTACCAAAAATATGTAAACAGAAAACATTTTGGCCTAAAATATGAAGAAATTTGATTTTTTAAATTTTTTTTATTGGATGTTTTATAGCAGAAAGTGAAAAATATATATCTATTTTTTTAATTTAGTTCTTTTTTGTTAAAGAAAACCCAGTGGTGATCAAATACCACCTAAATAAAGCTCGATTTTCGTGGAAAAAAATAATACAAATTTCATTTGGGTGCAGCGTTGCATGACCGCGCAATTGTCAAAGTAACGCAGCGTTGTGTAGCAAAAAAGAGCCTGGACAGGAAGGGGGGGAAATCTTCTGTGGCTAAGGTGGGGATTGCCATTCGTAGAATGTGTTTTTTTATTTTTCTATAAATGTATACTCTCTATACTGCTTAATGGGTGCTTACACGCACTTTTTTTTGTTCCTTACCTGTGCTGATTTCTAGAGAACTTTTCTCCTCCTTATATGGATCACCTCTC